GAAAGGGAGCATGAATATCACCTATTTTGATAATAACTAAGCAGGCAAGGGCATACCACATCTGAAAAACCCTGCCAAGAAAACTGCAGGAACTTGTCCAGGCAGTTTCCAAGAATTGATCACGGCTGAATAGAAGAAAAGTAAATCACTTGTATATTTATACTTTATTGATTAAATGAGTCACATAAAATCTACTAAACACGTCACTTACAATAAGAAACAAGGAATATGCTGATCAATCCAATTTATATACTATATTCTTTATTTTTTTAGAACATTGGACTTATTGGAACCTTTGAAGTATTTAAGACTAAAATATTTCAATTTATTAGCATTTTTAAAATTCCAAATATTTTTTTCTGAAAAAGTTATATTTGGGTATGAATGGCAACAAGAGTAGCTTTTATATCTGGTTAATGTATAACGTGCTTATTGAAATTTTGTATTCCTATTAGACATGAATATCACTATGGTTATCCCATCTACTTCAGTTTTATGGAAATATTGCACCATCACCAAAAAGATACACACATACTGATAATAAAAGTAACAACCTGTTCAGGAAACTCTTTCTAGTCAATGTTACTGCAGAACACTGCATACTGAATTCACACAAACCATAAACACAAAATATCTCAATCCTGCTGCCAGTTCATTAAAGCACTAACAATTAAGACAAAACAACTTCATGAAAAGTGAAAACAAAGCTATAAGCTATGTACTGTACTCCATTTATACTATGTTCAAAAGGGTTCTGTTACGATATTGCCTTATAAATTATTACATATTAAGATACAATATTTCAGCAATTTGACAATGTCCAAGATCAGATTATCATATTATTTTTATTGTGGAATATACTACCTTTGATTTTGATTTAAGCTTTTACTTTTCCATTTACTTTTAAAATGGAATTGGAAAAGAACCCAACCAAAATCACAGGCATGTTTTAAAAATATTTTATCTTTTTCTCTATAGCATGCAACATTGTCTTTCAAGTAAAATTTCAAAAGTTAGAATCTGCTTTACAATAAGTATTGTAATTCAAATAAACAATTTAAGATCTAATACTGAAAGATCATTTAGCCAAAACAACAATATATGTACACTACCTCAGATTCTACAAAAACAAGCATAAACGGGTAACACAGTAATAAGACTTTTTTCAAATATATATATTATGTGATATATGAATATTTATATTGTATTTTATTACATTGTTATCAGGTGTTTTTATTTTTTTTTAAAGGAATTTTAATGTATAAAGCAATCTTAAAATTGTTTAAAAGGACTCATACCCAGTGTCTATAAAATTATGTCAAATAGCATAAAGTATAATCTGGAAGAGCTGTAGTAAGTTGAAAGCAGTTAAGTCTGTCATGACACAATTACTTCAGCCACAAGTAAGAATTCCAGGGGAAAAGGTTTGGATCTTACAATTTCTGTATAATAAAGGTAAGCAAAAAGATGTACTAAAATACTTTTGTAGCAATATATTTTGAATATTTGGGGAACAGGGCTGGATAAACTGCCAGTGACAACCACCTCTCAAGATACATTTCAGGCTTTTAAGAGAAATTAGTTGAATTCAAAAATTTCATAGCCTATAGAATCACAATGATAGATGTTTAAAGACAAACGGCCCCGGTTGTACCTTTCCTTACTTCTATATGTTTGAGACAAGAGCTCTATAACTCTGAACCTGTTCCACATTGCTTTACATAGCTTCATACAAATCAAGGATATATGTACAAGTCCTCCATATCTTTATTGCATGTAGTGGTATTCTGGCCCATACCCAGCACATCACACACACCCCCAAAAAAATGTCCTTTTGTATTTCCATTAATGCGTTAGTGGAAAACACACACAAGATACCGATTCTGCTCCAATTACCCTGACACAAATATTCCGACCTCGTGTTCTATTATTTACAATAAATTCATCGGATGGATGTTTTTCCACGCCATTCTGAAGTCCGCCTCGAAAAGGGGACCGGGAAAGAAAAGGTTACTTGTCTGCTTCTAGCCACCCATCCATCAGATGGGGAAGAGATGAGAGTTAAGTTCGCATTGAGCCATCTGAGCATGTGATAAGAAATGAATCCCGGATTAATGGGGTCGACCAGCCACGAAACAAGGCTTACCCAGCTTTAAAAAAAAAGATTGCCATTTCTTCGCGGGAGACTCGAGCGGAGAAGCAGCGGGCAGCCCCTTCCCTCCCCCCCCCGACGTATTTCAGGTAACATCTGAGAAGTAGACCCTTGACCGCAGCCTCGCCTTTTTTTTCATCTTGGGGGGGGCAGCGGGGAAGAGGAGAAAAATCGCCAACCGGAAGCGCCCGCATGCCCCAATCTGAGGCCGCAGAGTGAGGGGAAGGAGTGGGGGGGGCAACTACTAATGCTGTCCCCCCCCCGCCGCCACTCGCCTTCCCGTTCCCATTAACCCAGCAGGGGAGGTGGTTGCTGGCTGGCTGGTTGGCCGGCCAGCAGGCAAGGTGGGAGGCGTGCCCCCTCTCCGCGTGGAATGACTGAGTGGGAATATCTCGCCTCGGCGAGCGGGGAAGCGGCGGCAAGTGGAAGGGGGCGGCGGCGGCGGCGGCGGCGGGAGGGAGAAGGGGGGAGCACTGCAGAGAATCCAGGACCGCAGCAAGCAGGGAACTCACCGCGTCTTCTGCTGAAGGAATCCCGGCTCCTCGCCTTCGTCTCGGCGTTTTACCACCAGCACCGCCACTCTTCCCCCCCCCCCCTTTTTTTTTTTTTTTTACATCTTCCCACAGCCTCCCCCTTCCCCGTCAGCTCCTTCTCCTTTCTGGATCGGGGGGGGGAGCTCGTGCCCGGCGGGTCCGTTGGGGTTGGAAGTTCGATCGCGCCCCGCGAGGGAGCCCCCACCCCTGGCGGACGATTGTCCGCGAGAGTCCGGGACGGGGGGGGGGCGGCGCAGAGACTGAGCAGCCGGAGGAGGAGGTGGTGGGGGGGGGGTGTGGAGAAGAGAAGGAGAAAGCGCGGATCTTTCCTCGGCACAAAGCTTCACAATAGACACGGCGCGAGAGAGCGGCGCGCGCGTGTGTCGGTGCGAGTGTGCCGAAGGCGGGGCTTCTTGGCCGGCTCCCGCACTCTCTCCCGGAACGGGGGTGGCGCGACCGCTAAAGGGGAGAGGCCGGCGAAGGTGGTGTTTGCGCAGCCACCTGACCGGCAGCCCCTCACCGCGCGGCTCTTCAGACTCGGGATGAAAGGAGGCGGACGCTTACAGCCTCTTTTCGGATGCCAGGCACACACACACACACACGCACCCCCGCATACACGGTCGGGTGGTACAGGCTAGCTTTATTCTCCTAAGGGGTGAGAGCGAGGGAGGTGGCGGCGGCGGCGGCAGGGTTTTATTGCGGCTTTCCCTAAACCGGCTTCTCGCAGCCAATTAGAAGAAGAAGAGGAGGAGGAGTTGGCGTTAGATCCAAAGACGTCGGACGCAAAAGACTCTTTGCAAGAGGGAAAACGGCGGTCCGGGAGAGCTATATTTAGAGCCAGATCGGCGCAGGCTAAACGTTTGTAGGGCTTACCGTCCTGCTTCATTTTTCCGTTGAATGAATGAATGAATGAAAAAAGAATTAAAATGCTGTAGTTTGAATACTGCAGTCCTTCTGTCATTATACAGTTGTGCTAGGAATACAACACCCTGTCCAATTACGGGTCAAACCGCACTGAACTCGGTAGCATTTGCATCTCCGTTATGGGTAAGATTGTACTGTGAAACTTCACAGGACTCCACTAATTGCGGAAGGAAGTCTGCAGTAATCTCCAGCCTCAATTTACTTTCTAATCTAGTTGGACAATGTGGTTTGCTCTCCGTTCTAACACCGGTTTTAATAATTTAACAGTATTGAATTTCAGCAAGGCTACAAATAATCTCAACACTTGCCTCTATTTGTTGAAATAAATGGTATCGGACTGACAACCAACTGCATTTATACGTAATTAGATACTTATATGTCCCACGGATTTATCCTGTGTTTAAATTAATACTTATATATTCCACTATAATTCTGGAAGCAACTGAACCTATCTTCCTTTAACAATGCTTAAGATTTATGCTCTGAATTTTTACATGTCGTTTATTTTTATCCAAAATGTGAAGTTTTTGGAACTCATTCGTGCTTTCTGAATAACCACAAGAATGAACCAGTGAATTCCTAGTCATTGGGTGCCATTCTTTTTGCTAAATCTCGAACTGCGCCCTAATGCAGTTATGTTAGATCTGTTGCCAAAACGGAACCAACATTTTCAGTACGTATCTGCGCCCTGCAATTAACGCTGCAAAAATTATTTGGTGGCATTTAGAAACATGGGAATTGAAGGCGAGTCTGATTTCTTTAGTAAAAGATTTTCGCATTGGACACCAGAGGACATTGACACCTATTTACATTGCTGCATTTCAGAACTGGGGCCACTTAATAAAAAGATGGACTTTGTTTGCAAGTGACGAACGTTCATACCTTTTTATGTTGGAATAAAAGGAAAGACAATCATTATTGTTTTGGGATAAAAAGAGCGAGATTTGGCTAGTTATAAAGATGCCAATCTTTTTTCTTCTTCATCCAATGTATATAGCTGTGGTGCTTACAGTCTCTCATCCCGAGAAAATTAATGCAAACTAATGTGCATTAAAATTACGGTTTCCCGCTATCTCAAAAGCAACAGTCTCAGTTTACGCTAAGCTCCTCCATCCGCAACAATCGAACGTATGCTGGGATTTGTGTACTGGGTGAAAGTCCTTATCCGCTCAAACTTAAAAAGCGTGAAGCTCAATTGTGACTCCCATCACAATTGTATTTGGACAGAAGCCTAAAAATAGGTACATTTTTTTATTTTTGCACTTTTTATAAGCCCAGTTAGGCACAAATTGAGGAAAGTCCAGAAAGAAAAAGAATTGTTTTACGCAGCTGCCAGGACTCGCTAGGGGTTTTTTTTTTTCTCACGCCCCGCCCCCCTGGCCGAGGGCCACTTCCGTTCGGGTAAGATGTCGGCCGCCATCGCTGCCCTCGCGTCATACGGGGGCTCAGATTCCGAGTCCGACTCGGGGTCCGATGCTGAAGGAAGGCCCGGCCTTTCCGCCCAGGTCGCCGGGGCCGACGCTGTGCTTCACTTGGCGGGGCCGCCGCCCTCTGCGCAACAGGCTCTGCTGCCGGTAGTGGACTCGGCCCCAGCGGTGTCGGTGAAGGTAAGAGCTGGCCGGCGTCGCCGCGTAAAAGAGCGTAGCGGTTCGGCTACGAATCTGGCGGACTCAAGTAGTAAACAACGTTTTCCTGTCTTTGATGGGAGACTTGGCATTCCCAGCCCCCCTACCCGTTGCTTTGCTTGTGCCCCGGGGAAACGACGCTGGGGGTGTTTTCCTCGCTCGCGTGCATGGCTTCCTCCAGAAAGCCGTGAGTGTAAATTTTATAGCGGCGCAACAGTGGAGAGTCCGTAGGGAAAGCTTATTCCATCTTTTGAGAGTCTATTGGTCGTGATAAAGGATTGTGGGAAAGGGGTGGTGATCGGCCTTGCACGCTCGGAAGATATGTGGATGTTTAAAAACATTGTCGGTTTAGCTTCAGCAATCGGTGGGAAGGGAGGGGGAGAGTAAATTTAACTTTACAGACCAGCATTGATCTTCACGATCCTATTCCTTTCACGTCTTTGTATCTGAGGCATTGCATTGCAAATGAAATTAAACCGTTATTTTGGGGTTATGGAACAAGATCTCTGCTACGCAAAACGTTTTTGTTTCTTCTTCTGTATTCTCCAAAGCGGCAACTTCTCTCTTATCACGTGATATTATTTGGGTGATAACTAGTACCGAAGGCCTTTGGAAAAACTCCTTTATAGAGTCAGCCTAACTTACTTTGTACAGATCAGTTATGAAGACATTGACAAAAGAGTGTGCGTGCTAAGTATTAAACAGATAAAATAACTTTTTGCCTAAGTTGTGTTACTGGCACATGAAGCTCTCCACATAATCTTTATACCAGTAAAACATTTGCCTGTTTGATTTTTTTTTTATAACATTCAATTGGGCAAAATGGTGCATAAGAGAGAAAAAGGTTTTGAACCAATGTACCTCAAATAGTACATCCAGAAAAAATCTACTTCTGCTTCATTGACTATGCTAAAGCCTTTGACTGTGTGGATCACAACAAATTGTGGCAAGTTCTTAAAGAGATGGGAGTACCAGACCATCTTATTTGTCTCTTGAGAAACCTATATGCGGGTCAAGAAGCAACAGTGAGAACTGGACACGGAACCACTGATTGGTTCAAAATTGGGAAAGGAATCCGGCAAGGCTGTATACTGTCGCCCTGCCTATTTAACGTACATACAGAGCACATCATGAGAAAGGCAGGGCTAGATGAATCAAAAGTTGGAATTAAGATTGCTGGGAGAAATATCAACAACCTAAGATATGCAGATGATACCACTTTAATGTCAGAAAGTGAAGAGGAACTAAAGAGCTTCTTGATGCAGATGAAGAAGGAGAGTGCAAAAGTTGGCTTGAAACTCAACATTAAGAAAACCAAAATCATGTCATCCGGCCCTCTCAATTCCTGGCAAATAGATGGGGAAGAAATGGAGGTAGTGACAGATTTTATTTTCCTGGGCTCCAAGATCACCTTAGATGGGGACCGCAGCCAAGAAATTAAAAGACGCTTGCTCCTGGGGATGAAAGCTATGGCAAATCTAGACAGCATACTAAAAAGCAGAGACATCACTCTGCCAACAAAAGTGCATATAGTCAAGGCCATGGTTTTCCCAGTTGCAATGTATGGATATGAAATTTGGACCATAAGAAAGGCTGAGTGACAAAGAATTGAAGCCTTTGAACTATGGTGCTGGAGAAGACTCCTGAGAGTCCCTTGGACTGCAAGGCGTTCAAACCAGTCAGTCCTAGAAGAGATCAACCCCGACTGCTCTTTAGAAGGCCAGATCCTGAAGTTGAAACTCAAATACTTTGGCCATCTAATGAGAAGGAAGGACTCACTAGAGAAGGGCCTAATGCTGGGAAAGATTGAGGGCAATAGAAGAAGGGGACGACAGAGAATGAGGTGGCTGGATGGAGTCACTGAAGCAGTAGGCGTGAACTTAAATGGACTCCAGAAGATGGTAGAGGACAGGAAGACCTGGAGGAACATTGTCCATGAGGTCACGATGGGTCGGACACAACTTCGCAATTAACAACAACAACAACCTCAAATAGGGCTAATCTAAAGAATGCATCCAAATTCTAGGTCCCCTGGCTCCTGTGAGATTGGAATTTGGCAAAGTTGTGGCTGCTTCAGTGCTCCCCTATTATTGTAGTCAGCTTTCGTCACCTGATCATCATTTCTAACCCTCCATGACAGTTTCCTACAAGGAAACTGGAAAGAAGTTAGAAGTCACTCCCACTTCCACCGCTTTTTTGCCTAACCTTGGCCATATAGTTTCTCGGTTGGTAAGGAAATATCTTTGAAACAACCCAGATTGTCACAGACTGTCTGCTGGTCATGAATTTAAGACAACCATCTTCTGTCCTCATATTTATCCATGCATTTTCTGTTTACCTGCTTTGCTTTGGAAGATGGGTAGATCTGTTTTTACACTGCAGGTATGGGTTGATTGAGCTGTCAGTGAATATCCTATTTGCAACTCAATTTTCAGGTCTTTATCAGAATATTGCATGGACCAGTCTCAGAATTTTCTTTTTTCTTAAATTTGGAAGTGATGACTGCGATTCATCTTACTTAGATTTAGTCCTTGGGGAAGTTGAAATATACCAGTTAGCATCTGATACTAATATTAGTTGGCATCTGTTGGCATTAATTTGCATCATTAATAACGATGTATTATATGTTAAACAGCAAAGGTGAATTACTAAAATGTAGTATAGGACATTGTTATTTATGTAGCGATATTGCTTGAAAATCCATTTGTAAAGGTTATAAATAGCCATAAGTGGTTCTTGCTGTCCAGAGTTGATTCTGGGGATGACGTATAAAGTCTATAAATAAATTTTAAAAAAAAAACAAATATGGCTTCACTAATAGATTTCTTTTTTTAAAAAAAGTTTCTAGTAGTTCAGATATACTATTAGAAATTAACACATGGCTTGTATTAGTACTATAACTTGCTCTTTTCTGAATTTGATGTGTGGCTGAGTCATCTTATGATAAAGTAAACTAAAGGTCGATGTAGTGATGCATGAATCCAGTGGAGTTTTTAAACTATGAAATATAGTTTAGTATGCTATGTAAGACAGCCAGCTGTAGCTAATTTGGTAGTATATTAAAGTAAAATAGTGTTTAATATAGAAGGTTATTGGAAGCCAGTACAGCAACCAGTATTGTCGTTCCTGTAAAACAACTGCATATTTCACATTTTTATTAGCTACAACTTTTCAGTTGTCTTTTAGGTTAGTTCCATATAAAGTGCATTTTAGTAATCTAAAATTATGTTCTGCTGATTTCCCTTTTAATGTAGCTAGGTTGTACACCTGCTTACTGACTGTGAAGAAAAGTTTTTACTAACTGAACAGATTCAACTAAATGTCATCATATTCTAGAAAGTAATGCTCTACAATATTAGTGTAATAGAGAAATGGAAGCTGAAAATAAGTTGAATATGTCAGTCAAACAGCAATCCAAAACATAGCTCAAAATCATCCAATAAATACTTTCAGGAAAGAAAAAGAAATGACTTTGGAATGGACTTCATAATCTCCAGATTTTAATATTAATTTTAAAACTGAGGAGAGATCTCAAAGATACATACATATATGGAGTCCTAAAAATATTTCTGAGCCAGAAGAGTTGTACCAAAAAGAACAGTCTAAATTCAAGAATAGAAAAATTCTTAGCTAACTACGGGAAATATCTGTAAGTTATTTCTGCCAAAGGAAAGATAAGAGTGCTAACTGAAAAGATATTTGAACTTCTGCAACTGTCATATCCACTGTTTTTTAAATTTGAATCTGTAAACAACTGCACAAAAATAATGTACATTCCAATTTGCAAAAAAATATCTTGCTTTACTATGTATCATGTAAAAGTGCCAGCTTTTATTCACAAGTGTGTAAATGCTTATATATGATGTACATATTCTCTATATATAATTCTTAACATGCTATATGTTCATTATGTTCATTTGCTAATCCCAGATTAGATGATGTTTTATGCAAAGGAGCTTACTGAATTGCTGATAAGTTCTGTCCTTTATAATCCATTTATTAAAGAACCAAAAGAGGACACTCATTTGAACTCCAAACTTTTTTCTTTTAAATGCACAAGGAGTAAATTAAGGAATATAGTTTTCATTACCATGAATCATCCCCTACATTAATTGTTTTTACATACAGATGCTTTTCTACTTTTGCTGTTTTAACACTAGACAAGGTTTTTATTGAAAAAGATATTTGTCAAGACTTTTATATAATATTTTTCAACCAGACCTAATTTCGAATGCTTCTTGTTTCAAACTTAATTTTAAAGAAATAATGCAATATATAATCCTCATTCTTAAAAAGTAACGTTTTTCTCTATATTAACAGAATCTACACAAAAAATACCTACATCCTAAGTATCTGGAGTACTTGTCTTAATGGACAGTGCTGAGTTTTATAAGCAGATGCAGCTAGTGCAATATAGTTATTATAGAATATTAGACAAATTGGAACTCTGGTTTATTCTGAGTAGAACAAGCCTGGTTAAAACGTGGTTGTCTTGGGTTTCTTTCTCTGGTTTATTCCAAGAGTAGGAAAATAGAATCTTTAATTTGCATGCCTCATTAAACAAATGAAGGATGGAGTCATTTAGCATGACTTCAGAACCAGTTGCAAGTTTGTTTACTATAGCTGGATAATACAATGTATTATTAAAGCTGTTTTCTCCAACATTCTATATGAAGATAATAAAACAGACATTTCTGAACATCATGACTATTTGAAGCAGAATTAATTATCTCTTTGTACATTTGGCATTGTAGCCAGAATTAAAACACTACATCTTATTATAATTTCCTATTATGTTCATGGTGACAGTAACATCAATTACCTGATTAAATTCTTAAGGAACATCATAGTAATTTGCAAGCTGTGTTCTAGGGGATGCTAGAATTATTCAAGAGCTTTTATGTGGACATCAGTTTGCCACTTTCAAAACTTTGTATATGTTTCTTTCTAAGCCCTTTTGAAAATGATTCCAATTTCAGAAC